GGCGAGAACTCAATACGAGGCGAAATCAAGTCTTTGAGTTCGAACCTCGTTGTTACACGAGCAATGTTTATACGCTCGTGAGGCTACGTGTATCGAAACATATTTTTCTTTATAAATGCAGGCATAACCTCGTTTGCAAATCACTTTCAGCTATTTAAAATTTCCGACTTTAACACGCCCACGGACGATGAGCCAAGTATTTTGCGCACTGTTAAGTAGTGTGTAAAATACTTTGCTCATAGTCCGTGCGTAAATTGAGGGAATTGGTTATTTTGGATGGCTGTTAGTGGTTTGCAAACGAGAATTTTGCATGCATGGATAAAGAAAAAAACATGTTACTGGTATATAATTGTTACATAACATTCATGTACCAGTAACATGTTACACGAATAAGCGGACATTTTCATAGAATTGTTATGGAACTGTTACATGCATGTTACTTGTGCACACTGGGATTTTATCTTTAATATTTAAAAAAAAAATGTCTTCCATTTAGCTCCAAATATGGAGGTAGATTGCTTGGTTGCCCTTAATTAGCACTAGAAATTATCTATTATTATTACTATTTTTAAGTATTATTATTGATTATTTTTTATTTAATTTTTGCGATTGGATAGGCGGTGAAAGATGAATTGTGATTGAGTTTATTTTTGATAACAATTAAGCACGCTGTTTGATAACTGCACGATCGCACTGTTAATTAAACATTCAAACATATTGCTTGATTAAATATCTACTTGTCTCTATGCATTATTAGCTACTGGTTTTTTTTTATTCGTATAAACTGGGGGAGACAATCTCAAGGTAATTTAATCTATGTAAAATTGTGGATATTATCTGCACAACTAAAGGAACCTGGAAGTCGGCAGTCTATAATTGGAAATTTGAATACCGAGATTAATTGGGCGACCTTGAATGGTAGTGCCCAACTGTAACAGAAATTTTTGTTTTTAAGTGATGCTTGCTAGATTAATGTATGACTGTCTCTTATTAGCTAATGTCATAGCTATTTTCACTTATATCACACACCCGAAGTCAAGTATACTTATTATAACTGTATTGATTATATTTATTAAATTAACATAATAATAATTATATTAACATATCAATAAAAATGGACTCGTGTTAAAAGTTATCATAAGTAATAAGCAAGTAAAAAAGTAATTATAATGTCCTCTTACTAAACTCTATCAGGAGTGTGCACTCAAATTGATGCAACCAAAATAACAGCTTTGACTTAATCAACTATAAATCTTTCAACGTACATATTTAAAACCAGTTCATAGTAAATTATTAACAAATTACTCTTTTCCTTTAATGAAATCAATATCAATTCTATTAATACTGTAACTTTCTATTTTAAAATTCTGGACGGTAATGCTCTTATTCATATCTTTGCCTATATGAGCAGAATTAAGAGTGTTCTTTTTTAGGGAAAGGACTATTATGGAACTAGAGACTGAGAGCGCGGACAGGGGTGACTCGTTCTCATCTTCAGATAGTATGGAGCGCGACAGGGCGAGATTGAGAGGCAGAGCCAGATCTGCCTCACACAAATCACCGAACCAGAAGATTTGTTCACCGAGACCGGGGTCTGGTCAGTCTACGAGTTTAGATAGATCCTCATCAAGGAAACCCGGGTCCATGCAAATCCAAAATTTAGATAAAGCAATCATGGGGTCTTCAGAGAGACTTGCTCGGATTACCCAATCCCTTGAAAATCGTCTCAGATCTTCTACACCGAACTTCTCCATAGGGGAAGGTTACGAGCAAAAATCACAAAACAAAAGGGGACGGGATACTTTGGGCACCCTTTCTTCCTCCTCTGTAGTTGGGGGCCAACGATCTTCGGTCATTTCAGTCATAAAAAATTCAGAAGCGTTAATCTTGGTCTTGAAAATATCTCGAATCAGAAAAACCATTCTAAGGGCTCGATCAAGGGGCCTCTCGAAGCAACCGTAATAAGTCTAAAGCCATCCAAATCCAAAGTCACCAAAATGCCCAGTTCTAATCCTGATTCGGTCCAAGCCTCAACCTCCGGTCTTAACTCACAATCCCAATTAAATCAAAATAGGGAACTCGAACAACAAAACTATGAGTCCAATATTGATCAGGCTTCTAACTCAAAAAACAACTTCCAAACTGACCCCTACTTGTACTGCTCGTCTTCTTGCTCTGATTTCTCAGCGGATTCGTTCCGCAATACAGATGATTTCGATCCTCCCTTCTTGGTTTTGATGGAGTGCACCATTGAGTGGCTAAAGTTGGGGCGATTGGACCCTATTGCTATATAAAAATTTGTTGCTAAATTTATAGATGGGGATAGAAAGGTTTTTATTAGTGGTATAAACTAAATCAAAATTCAATGTGAGGATAGAGACGGCCCTAACTTTCTCCTATTTTCCGAAGAACTTGTGAATCATGGCTACAAGGCATTTGTCCCAGACTCTGCTTTTTAAAAAGGGATTCATAAAAGTTGACATTGAATATTCGGTTTCGGAAATCGTTGAGAAAATGAACCCGAAAATCAAATCCATATTGAAATCAGCAACTAGGTGAACTAGAAGGGGAGACGGTCTCCCACAAGGCTTAGTTGATTTGCAGCTGGCTACCCAGAAATTACCCCGAACAATGTTTATCTATTATGTCTCACATAACATTACCCCATCAATCCCCATACCGAAAAGGTGTTTTAAATGCAAGAATTATGGCCATGTTATAACTCAGTGCAGGTCGGGTTCCCCTAGGTGTGAATTCTGTGGAGAAAACCACTTATCCAATAATTGCGATATTCAGTATCCTGGCAACTATTGCATCAATTGTTCTGGGGACCACAAGTCCTCTTCGAGTCTGTCCTGTATTTAAATATGAATTTAAGATCAATAAAGAACGTTTTTATAAAAATATCTCCAAAAATGAGGCAATATTTCAATTAAAACAAAGAGGTATTTACAAGAGACCTATGCCTACTAATCATCCTTCTTCATCACCTTCACCGATGACTAGCCAAAAGATTACGCCACTTGCTTACGGGGAAGTCGTAATTAGCCAGAAGAACCCAATTCAACCCACAACTTTTTCAGTCACAGAAAGCCTTAATCCGCCTGCCGCTCATGATAAACCAAAGGATCAATTAGATCTGAACCCTTCGATTGAAGGACTACAAGACGATGAAGTCTTGGCCCCGAATATTGATAATGAGGATGATAATCTCTCATCAATTCGCCCCCCCCCCTTTTTTCCGCGTGACTTCCCACTCAGTGAATCCTTTACTTCCATGAGTTTGGAAGAGAATACTGAATCTGTAATGAAAACAGCTAACGAGGACTCACGATTATCAGAGGAGGCCATCTCGGATACTTTTCGCCCCAACATGGACCTTCACTTACATGACAGTAAGCAACAATAAAATTGGTTGTCATTATTAGTATAATTTTGAGTAGCAAGCTCCTGTCCACATGAAATCTATTTCATATTTTTAGTTAGAATTAAGTTTTTCATAAGTTTATCCCACAAGTTAATTTTGGTTCGATACCGCTCTTTTTTACACTTTTGCATAAATAAGCAGGTTCTTAAACTAACATTTTGGATTCACATTATTGAAGAGTTGTACAAATGACATGTTGAAATATTTCCAATTACGCCTACCGTAGCCCTAGCATTCTGCGCGTTTTACTTGAAGATAAATATGTTTACTAACCAAACTCTTATCGGGGATTCAGTATCCCTGTCAAACCCATCGCGGTCTGAGTCGAATCTGCCCGCCTTTCGATGTGCCACATGGAACGCAAGAAGCGTTATTAACAAGAAAATCCAAATAGAGTACCTCCTATCTTCCCGAAATTTGGATGTCCTGTCGATTTCGGAGACATGATTGTCCCGGGGCGTGGCGAGATGGGAGATCCCGGGTTTCCTCACATATAGGTCCGACCGACAGGGCCCCCACAGGGGAGGTGGAACCATGATTCTGGTCCAAAGATCGTTTATGGCTGAGAAACTGACCCTTCAAGGTCCGTGGGCTCAGGAAATAGAGGCCGTGGGCATTAAACTGAGTACAACTCTGGGACCGGTATTTATTATCTCGGTCTACGCAACTCCCGGCGCAAAGGTCACCTTAGCTCATATGTTGGACATGCTGAGCGTAGTACCCATTGATGGGTTACTCCTACTGATGGGAGATTTCAATGCCCACCTGGCATGTTTCGACTTCCACAGAACCAACCCTATGGGTAAAGTCCTTTTGCAATTGCAGGAAATGAGAGACCTCGTTCTGATGAATGAAGGTAATCCAACATTCGTCACAAGAATAGACTAAAGCGGGTGCCTATGTCCCTAGAGCAAAAGGCTCCTTCTCACCAGTCGAACCCACTTGGTGGTCCAGAGAATGCGACGTCGTTGCCAAAAATAAAAAGGCAGCCAGGCAGACCTACTTGAACTCTCCCAGTATGGACAATCTTGAACTTTTTTTTGCATGCTAATCACGAAACCCAAAGAACCTTCAAAGAACATAGACAGATAGCTTTTAGGGTATTCTGCAGCTCCATCTCACCTAGGATGGGTCTCCGACACGTGTGGAGTCTGATAAGGGCATTCTCTAGGAAGAAGCAAACGCGAACCAACATCTCAACAGATCTCAATTCGGCGGAATTCAGGGTCCTACAGAACAACATAGTCAGGGAAGACATCTCACCAATCTCTCGATTCAAATTGACTGAAATTGACGAGAACTATCCCTACAATGCTCCATTTTCCAGTACAGAGTTCTATACGGCCCTTTCAGCCTGTAAAAAAGACTCTGCCCCAGGTAGGGACCACATCTCTTACGAAGTAATCAGGAAACTCCCTAACACCTGTTTGGATAGGATTCGGAGCGTATTTTGCTCATGCTATATGACTTCGGATTTCCCAGATTCATGGAGATCCTCAACAGTCAAGTTCATCCCCAAACCTAACGGAAAGGGGTACCGGCCCATTTCATTAACATTTGCCCTCGAAAACTTATGGAGAGATTGGTCAATAGACGATTGGAGCATTTTGTGGAGCACAATGATTTGATTCCCCAACAGCAGTTTGGATTCAGGAAAAGTAGATCGGCGTTGGATTGTGTCACGTCATTGGTGTCGGACATAAAGGAGGGGTTCGTTTTGGGCAGGGAGACGGCCGCGATAGCTCTCGATATCAAGGGAGCATTCAACGCCCTCTTGTCGGGAAAAATTCTTGAACGCCTTGTAAGCGTGGGGGTCTCTCCGAGAATCATAAACTTTGTTTCCCATATGATTAACAATAGAAATCTTTTCTTCCAGGATACTGATGCTCCTTCTAAGACCTGTGGGGTAGGTGTCCCTCAGGGGGGTGTATTGTCTTCGTTGCTGTTTAACCTGGCTTTAGCGGAATTGCAATCAGTTCTTCCAGAAAATGTTAAATTTTCCCAGTTTGCTGATGATATCCTGTTGTACATAAGTTTTGATGATCTTAACGAAGCCCTGGCTGGTTTGGAGGAGGCAATCAATTCTTTGATTTCTTGGCTACGTTTATATGGATTAGAACTGGCTACGGAGAAATCAAAACATTGTATTTTTAGCCGTAAAAAACTGGACCTGTTGGACAATGACGAGGTCAGAATAGGAGAGACCCTAATTCCTTGCTCCCCCATCCTTATGTATTTGGGAATTATCCTGGACCGGAAATTAATTTGGGAAGCCTATATCGATTACGTGGCGGGCAAGGCTTTAGCGGCGGTAAACGTGATCAGAGCGTTGGGTAGGATATCATGGGGAGCGAGCCCCGAGTCGTTGATTATGGTCTACAAGGGTATCATAAGGGCCCATCTTGAGTGGGGATCAATTCTCTTTGAGGAAGCGAGACAGAACCTCCTTAGAAAATTGGATGTCATTCAATACAGTTCCATTAGAAGGGCGCTGGGTTGTATGAGGACAACACCTATCCCGATACTTCTATCAGAGACCAATGAATGCCCTCTTGCCCTCAGAAGATCGCTGCTCCTCCAAAGAAACTCATTCTGACTAGCTGGTTGGTCGGGAAACCCGGTGTGGTCTAAAATTGTGATCCTCAGAAACATGGCAACTTGGAACAGGGGCTTCCCTACGTACTGTAGGAGTTTCCCCCCCTCAATTATGCTATACCTATGGGCGATTTACTTAACGAGGATCCTAGGCCCATCAGACCGGGTTACTTCGATTTAGAATGGAACCGGGTTATATTTGATATCAGGAGTATGTGTGACCTTGAGGCGGGCAACACATTCAGAGCTTCTCAGGATCCAATTCAGGAGTTTGAAAAATATATTCGAAAGGAGGTTTCGGAATACACTGCCATATTTACAGATGGATCATACAATGATTCACGGGAAAGGGGAGGGGCCGGTGTATATATCCCTTCGCGAAACTTTAAACAAGGTACAAATTTAATAGGCTGTGCTTCCTCGCTTTCAGCAGAACTTCAAGCCATCTTCCGGGCCTTGAAATTTGCTTGTTCTAACTTGAATGGCAAGATTGCCATTTTTACTGATTCTCTGAGATCTATATCCACCATTGCTGATAGAGTGAGAAAACAGTTCGTTTGAAACAGTAAGATATTTACTTGTATGAAACTCATATTTTCTTATTTCAAAAACATTGCCCAATGCTCAAAATTACTTGACACGTATACTATATGAATATATCGTCTTGTTTCAAGTAAAGTACCTCAAGTAAATGCATTTACTTGATTCTATTAACTTTTTTTTAGTGTAGTCACTTAGAAGTTTTTTGGGTTGCTGATTACAAACTTGAGGTTAGGTTTTAAAAATTCAAAATGGCAGATCCAATATGGCGAAAGAATTTTTTAAAAACCGTTTAAATTCTCTTGAGTCTTGTTACTCGGAAGTTTTTGTGGTCACTGATTACGAATTTGAAGTCAAATTTTTAGTATTTTTTGTCGCGTGATAATAATAAAAGAAAGAGCTAACATTGTACGCTATAAAGGATTTTAAGGTTCAAGTTTCATTTAAAGTTGGTAACTTTTTTAATTGTTTTTTATATAATATGAAATTTATACTATATACCACATATTCTACGAGGATTTTAGCCAGACACTGGGAAATCAGTTTCTTACATTTAAAAAATTCGTCTGCCATATTAGATAAGCCATTTTGAATTTCTAAAACCTGACTTAAAATTCGTAATCAGTGACCCCAAAAACCCCCGCTTAACAATGCTCAAGCATATTTTAACGATTTAAAAAAAAATCCGTACCGGATCCGCCATTTTGAATTTTAAAAATCTAACCTCAAATTTGTAGTCAGCTACCCAAAAAACCTATAAGTGACTAGTTTCAAGCAAATCCGATTATGGAGAATCGCTTTATACCAAGCATGCATTCCTAAAGATTTGAACTATAAATTCAATGATACGTTTGAGGTTATGCGTTAAATACAGGTTCCCGCAATTATTCCATGACATTTCATTTTTAAATCTTAAAGTTGAAGGTTTCAGATTTTTTTTGAGCTCTATTAAAGATTTCTGTGCCCTTATGTTCACCTTTTATAGTTCTTTAAAAAGTGACAAAAATGCCATTTGTTACACATTAACCTCGATATTCAGGAAACTAAACAAATCAAATTTTTTTTGTATTTTCTTGTTCATTGACACCCAAATATTCTGCAATACTTAAATTCTTACGATTTTTTCAAATACTGACTAGTAATTTCTAATAAATAAGATTTTTACTTATTTTAAATTTGGAACGCACACAAACACAATCATATAATGCTCTGCATGTACACAAAATTTGTTTGTATAGAGCAGCGACGCTAGCGCCGCGGTAGACAGGTTCTGCAACAGAGTGCATCGTTATAATGCATTGTGGTTTGTCGGGCCTGTTTGAAACTAATAATTTTTTGGAAAAATGACCAACAGGAAAGTGAAAGCTGACTAAATTCCTGACAATTTGCAAAAAAGAACAATGTAATAGCTGTAATAGTTTCCGAGATATAGTCTCTCAAAGTTGACCCTTTTGAGGTTTTACAAAGAATCTCATTAATTACCTTTGTATGTAAAACCTCAAAAGGGTTAACTTTGAGAGACTGTATCTCGGAAACTACTGTAGCTATTACATTGTCCTTTTTTGCAAATTGTCACGAATTTAGTCAGCTTTAACTTTTCTGTTGGTCATTTTTCCAAAAACTCATTAGTTTCAAAGCTATATTGGAAAAACTGAAAAATACCGGATTTTGGCTAAAATCAAGAAAAAAAATATGTTTTTTTGAGGAAGCTATATCTCGGTCAATTTTTGGGCTAGAGGGTTCATTTTTTAATCAAATTATTCAGAATTTTATACATTTTCTTTTTTATGGCACCGATTTTATGCTAAAATGTCATGGAAAGCGGCAATTTGCAAAAAAATAGTTATTTATGATACAACTGCGTAAAGTGAGTGATTATACGAGTATGACATTTGTAGCACAAGGCAAAGCCGAATGATGCAAATTACACGAGTATAATCAGATTTACGCACGTGTATCATACAACATTTTTGGCAACACCCACCTCTAAAGTTAAGTACCTATTATGAAAAATTCCAACTCTCTATTAGAATAATTTCGATTGTATAGAATTAAATAAATCAATCGAAGATCAGGAAAAATATCATTAAGCAGTAGTGTATAAATTTAAAAACTTTAGAGGTTAGTGTTGCAAAAATTATTTTTAGCACCTATTTCTTAAAAAAATTTTAGGTTCCGGCAGGAGTTCGAAGTACAAAATTTAGGTACTTTATTTTTACCTCGCAATGAAGGATTTAAGCAAAAAAAATTGAGGTCCTGAGATAATATACATATTGCCTAATTGACATGTAACCAAAATGTCATTTAACCGAAATGCATATGTGCCATTCCGTGAGTTTTTTATCACTTTTCGAAGTAACCATACCAAATTAGATGAAACATTTTTTTAATAATATTTATTAATATAAAGGTCCTAAATAATCACTTTTTAAATAAAAACAATTGTTTATTTAAAAGATAGAACAATAAATAATAAAAAAATTCACTTTTTTTCTGCACCACCAAATAAATTGGTTTAAAGAACAAATTTTTCCTTATTTTTTAAGCTTTAATACCACACAAGAAAAATAAGGTTATTCGAAATAGTGAACTCACAATTTTTTAAACAAGGTTTGTTTCCTTTTTTGTATTTTATTTACTGTGAAACGTCTGCTATCGCTGCGCGCGACGTTCGAAAGCTGTCGATCTCGTTATTAAACAGAAGCTCATTACACTAGTTTAGTCATGAAGTAGTATAAGGAGCACTCACTCTATAGGCTGTTTTTGAAAATTCTTCCCCAGCCTTTCCAGATTTAATAGAAGCATTTACATATCCCCGATACTAACAAGCCTAGCGGAAAAGCGAGGAATTATAAGTCCCGTGGTACATTGTTATATAAGTGTTTGTGTATAACTGTCAGTTGGAGATTTTTTTAAAAATGTGTTTGATGCGAGTTAATTTTGTGTAATTATACATAAAAAAGTGAAAATTGAGACTGCTAAATTGATCAATGAATCAGCATTAACACAGGCAACTTGATACAAATTATTTTGTATGTATTTGAATATTAACAAAACACTTGCTGAACTTGTCATTATATTTTGTTTGTTTACATGTAAATATAACCTAAAAATAAAAAAAATTAAGAAATTTCGTTTGAAATATATACGGCTACAATGAAAAAAAATTATTTATATTTTTATTATTTTTATATAACTTACAACAAATTATTGCAATTCCTTTATTATTTCATTATGAAACATAATTGAAAACAAATATTTTAAAAATCTAAATTATATATCCGTATATAAATAAGCAAAAACTTACCAATTTTCAAATATATTTTCAAAAAATTTATGTTTTATTTAAAATTTTTGTGTGTAACTTTTTTCTTTCTTTACACTTTTTCTAAAATTATTATATTTCACTTTACACTGCTTACAATATGAGAACAGCTGTCACTAGGCGCAGCCATATTTTGAAAACTTCTAAGTACACCGCTTTTCCGCTAGAGGCGTCATAATTGGAGATATGTAATTTCGGATTTATTCTCATGCAGGAGACCTATATGCTTAACAAGCAGTGAGTGCTCCTTATACTACTTCATGAATTTAGTAGAAAGCAAGTTGTGTGAAAAGTGAGGTTATGTTGTCATTGAACGAAACGTAAACATTTCTGGTTATCACATTGAATGGTTTTTAATTACCTACTTTGCAGTAAAAAAATCATAAAAAACATTTTTGAAGGATGAAAAACCACACTTTTCACACAACATGCTTTCTACTACACTAGTGTAATGAGCTTCTGTTTAATAACGAGATCGACAGCTTTCGAACGTCGCGCGCAGCGATAGCAGATGTTTCACAGCGTATAAATTTTTTTTACTTGAAAACGGAGTCCCCTGGCCACTAAAATTTCAACTATAAAATTTTAATATTTTTAAGCAAATTCTTATAGAGAATTTTATTGCGCATCTTTTTTTCTTAATAAGAAACTTTCTATCTTTTTCCGGTTTCGAAATATAAGAGAAGAACTGTTTTTTCAAAAAAGAAAATTTTCATTGTTTTTTTGACTTCAACTAGCGACAGCTCAGACAATTTTACGAATGATCAAATCCTTCGACAGGTAGCAAATAATGAAAAATTTTTTATTAAGAAAAAAAGATGCGCAATAAAATTCTTTATAAGAATGTGCTTAAAAAACCGTTTTTTAAACATTACAAAAGTATGTTATTCAGATGCTTTATACGCACAGAGATTCACGCTTTCGTTATATCAGACACAAAATGAAAACTCTTAATGAATTTAAAGCTTACACTGTAAAAAGAAAGTACTAAAACAGTACCGATTTTAGGTATCAAAATAGAACCAAATGACAATTCAGTACCTGAAATCGATATTAAATTAATAATTTTCTGTTTACAGTGTAAGTTCTATGCAGAGTAATTGAATCTTGCGTGTGTCTGCATCCAGGGCACCTCC